ATGGATGGCTCCAGAGCAAACTAATTTATGGAGTACCCAAATTGCTCACTCACATCTTTAATGCCAGTAGCTCACAGAGTAGAATTTTTGCTCACAAACGCTGCAGCGAAGAGGGAGCATTGGGGGGGGGGCGGCCCTCAGGTGCCGCCTGGGGTGTGTGTGTGTATCTGGGGGCCGCACCTGACCTGACACGTCTCTTCTCCCCTCCAGCTCTTCATCACGGTGATGGACAAGCTGCGCCTGGAGATCCGAGCCATGGATGAGGTGAGGGGGCGGGAGGGTTTGGGCTCTGGGGCTCACTGTCTTCTGGGCAGGGGAAGGAGGCGCCCGCCTAGCATGCCCCACAGTTCTGGGATGGTGGGCACCCGGGCAACCGACCTTGTCTCTCCACTGCTGTGTGGGCTGCCCCCCCCCCGCGCTGCTTTCTTCTCTGTCCAGCAGGTGTGATGCTGGGGGGCGGGGCTGCTGTGCCCACAGGTGCTGGAGGGGAGCGGGGAGGCTGGCTGGCTGCATCGGCCGTGGCAGCACGGCAGGGAGGGGAAAAGCGGCCATGCAGCTAGCCCATCCCCAGCCTTACCTCTCCGAAGGGGGTGCTCTGGCCCATCTTCCAAAAAAGGGGGCGGGTGAAGAAGAATCCAGCATCCCATTGGGTGTGGCTTCTCCAAACAAGGGGTGAGGGAAAGACCCCTCCCCAAGCCCCACTGCCCGGTTCCCTTCCCCTCCAGATCCAGCCCGACCTCCGGGAACTGATGGAGACCATGAACCGCATGAGCCACCTGCCCCAGGACTTTGAGGGGCGGCAGAAGGTGCAGCAGTGGTAAGGCTTCCCGGTCCCAGCACCCAGCCCCTCCTCCGCCACCCACTGACACCCCCCTTCCCCCGGGGCTTGCTCCGCATGGCCCATTGAGCAGCAGCAGCTGGGTTGGGGGCATTTATGGAACCAGTTGCTTGGCCTTGACCAGTGCCCTCTGCAGAAATGTGTCCGTTTCGGTCTCTGTCCGGGATCTGCCTTTCCCCCCCTTCTTCAAGGAACAACGGACTTCCATTGACCCCATCGGGTTCTCAAGGCACCAGACATTCAAAGGTGGCTTGCTTACTGCCTGCCTACCTTTGTGTAGCGACCCTGGGCTTCCTTGGAGGGCTCCCATCCAAGCGCTAACCCGGGCGGACCCTCCTGAGCTTTCCGGATCTGGCAAAGGTTCAGGCTCGCCTGGGCTATCCGTGTCAAGGCTGCCGGAGACGCTCAGAAGCGACCCGCCATTGAGCTGCCTCTGTGTGCCACACCCGGGGCTTCCTTGGAGGCCTCCCATCCAAGGACTGGTTCGGGGATGACCCCGCCTAGTTTCTGCGACGGCGACCCGATGGGCCTCGCCTCTGGTTCTTCCTGAGCCTGCCTGTTTCCTCTCCCTTCCCCAGGCTGCAGACCCTGAGTGGGATGTCCGCCTCGGATGAACTGGACGACTCCCAAGTCCGGCAGATGCTCTTTGACCTGGAATCGGCCTACAACGCCTTCAACCGCTTCCTGCATTCCTGAGGGCCAGCCGAGGCGCCTGCTGTCGCATGCAGGCCTGGGGTGTGTGTGTGTGTGGGGGGGGAAGAGCCCCTCTCTCCTTTCCTGCCCGGGAACGCCAGAGGACCTGCCCTCGGCTCGGTGTTGAGCGTTTAGCACTTTGGCGGAAAGGGAGAGGAGGGGAACAAGAAGGGGGGGGAGAGGGGGGGTATTTCCCCTAAGGCGGCCGGAGCCCTCCTGGGGTGGGCGGGAGGCTGCCAAGGGGCCGTGTAGCGACTGTATTTATTTGAGCTTTGTTTCTGCTTTGGAAGGGGAAAAAATAAACCCACTTTCTACAGTACCTGCGGCGTTTCCATCCCAGCCTGAGAGACCGCCCGCTGCCCCCTGCTCCTGCAGTGCCTTCGACCGGACCGTTCAAGGCAGGTGGGGTCTTGGGGCTGCCTCTCCACACACCCATCCCGCCTTCCCCACATCTGCCCCTCAGACACAGGGAGTACAGACCGGACTCACGGCAAGTTAGGAGAAAGGAAGGCACACGGGGGTCTGATCCTGAAGACACGATATTCAATAAATAGCAGAGAAGGGGAGACCCGCGAGGGAAGAGACAGCACAACAGGACAATGGCCCCCCCTCCCCACCCCCACCAAGCAGCCTCTGTGCAAAGACAAGCAGAGACTTCGACGGGCTGGAGGACTGTTGCTGCCCAGCATGAGTCCCTGGCCTTCTAGCAGCAGTCCCTTGTCTTTCTCCCAAGATCCACGCCCCCCCCCTCCTGCAGCCTGTCCAGAAGGAGGACACTGCAACCCCCCCCCCGTGCAGCCCGTCTGCTCCTTGTTCCAGGCCAAGCCAGAAAGGGGGCTGGGCTGGGGTCCGTGTGGGGCAGGAGTCCCCCAGCGTTGGCCGGGAGCGTCACTCGAGCGCCGGTGCGTCTGTCCCCGGCGATCCAGGAGCCAGGCACTGGCAGAAGAGCTTGTGCTGCCGTGTGACCGTGCGGAGAGCCGTGTCGGGCGGGTGGGGCCACAGCTCTTCCACGTCCCGCTGGTCGCTGGGGCTGAGGTGGCGCGTGCAGAGCTGCAGGTGACGGACGTGGGCCGAGAGCTTGTTCCAGGTGGTGCAGTCCACGGGGCCCCTCACGGAGCAGCCTGCGCAAAGGGAGGAGGGAGAGAGGGCCAGTCAGCCCCAGCCGGACAGGTGGAACCGGGGGTGGGGGATCATCTAATGCTTCTGACCAGTGTTCCCTCTAAGCCGAGTCAGTGTGAGCCAGCTCAGTTTTTTAGCCTCCAGCTCACGTTTTTGCCCTAGTTCAGGAAGGAGGGCTCCAGAGCAAACTAATTTACGCAGTAGCCAAATCGCTCGCTCACAGCTTTAACGCCGGTAGCGCACAAAGTAGAATTTTTGCTCACAGGACTCCACAGCTCAGAGGGAACACGGCTCCCGACTGTATTCAGCCCGCCCCCCGACTGTATTCAGCCCGCCCCAAGCTTGGCTCCCACACTGAATGATGCGGGAGTTTCTGCTGGAGGGCTGCGCCCCCGAGAGACGAAGGACCACTGACCAGCCAGGCCGAGGAACCGGAGGCCCTTCTGCCGCTCCTCCAGGGCCGTCAGCAGCGTCCGGAGGCCCACGATGCCGATGTCCGGGTTGGCGGACAAATCCAGGGAGTCCAGCGAGCAGCAAGCTGGGAGGCACCTACAGAGAGGACAGACGAGGAGGGGCTGGCTGGGCTCAAGCCGGACAGGAAGCGGCAGCTGCCCCCCCCTTCAGTTCCTTCTGGTCATGGACAGTGAGCCGTTGTGGACTGCAAAGGCAGCCAGGAGCATCCAGACAGGAAAAGATGACACGGAGATGGGCTTGACTGTTTCCCACACCCCAGCTCTGCAGTTTGAGGTTGCTCACAGGCAGAGAAAAGGGCCAGTGGGAGCCTTAAGACCATCCTGTCCCAAACGGGCCAGCCAGTTCCTCTGGAGGGCCAACAACAGGGCAGAGAGGCCGAGGCCTTCCCCTGAGAAGGACATCAGAAGGGCCCTGCTGGGTCAGACCTGGGAGGGTCCATCTAGTCCAGCATCCTGCCTCACACAGTGGCCAGACAGTTCCGCTGGAGGACCAGCAACATAAGAACATAAGAGACGCCAATGTTGGATCAGGCCAAAGGCCCATCCAGTCCAACACTCTGTGTCACACAGTGGCCAGAAATACCAGTGCCATCAGGAGGTCCAGCAGTGGGGCCAGGACATTAGAAGCCCTCCCACTGTTGACCCCCCCAAGCACCAAGAAGACAGAGCATCACTTGCCCCAGAGCCCCTAGCTATACCTTGTGGCTAATAGCCACTGATGGACCTCTGCTCCATATGCTTATCTAATTCCCTTTTGAAGCCATCCATGCTTGTAGCACCCACCACTTCCTGTGGCAGTGAATTCCAAGTGTTAATCACTCTTTGGGTGAAGAAGTACTTCCTTTTATCCGTTCTAACCCGAACGCTCTGCAGTTTCATGGAGTGCCCAAAAGGCTGAGGCCTTCCCCTGAGAAGGACACCAGAAGAGCCCTGCTGGGTCAGACCAGGGAGGGTCCCTCTAGTCCAGCATCCCGTCTCACACAGGGGGCAGCCAGTTCCTCTGGAGGGCCAACAACAGGGCAGAGAGGCCGAGGCCTTCCTCTGATAAGAAAAGACCACTTTTCAGAAACTAATTGTTCTGCGTCTGCCTTTTCCAGGAAAGGGAACCATTTGTCTAGGGGGTCTAGGACCTCTCGCACGAGCACAGAGCGATCTGAGTAGGCGGGAAATTTTTCCAAGGTGAAGAAATCCCACACCTTTGCATGCCAGCGAGACAACGTCGGAGGATGTCTATCCTTCCATCTCTGAGCGATGACCGCCTTAGCTGCCGTGAGAAGAACTCAAATCAGATCCTTACGGACCTTTGGCACCGAGATCGCTGACCATGAGTTAAGCAATATAACCACCGGATCCAGAGGCAAAGAACCAAAGAACTCGGGCATCAGCAGGTCCAAGCCCCGGGTGTCAACAGCCTCCTTGGTAGCCGCCCCCCCGCAGCCCCTCCTTACCTGGCCAGCGCTGCAATGGCCTCGTCAGTCAGGCGGTTCCCAGACAACGTCAAGTGGGTGACCTCGGGGGGGGGGGGGGGGGGGGGGGAGTGGAAAGCTGGATTCAGAATGGAGTTGCTGTTGGGAGGGGGGACCTTGAACAGCCCCCCAAGTAAGGAAAGCGGGCCCCTCCCCCCAGCTTTTCCATGGCGCGAAGCCAGTGATCGAACCAGTCTGGCCATTCTTGCAGGCGTCCCTTTCTCTCCACTGGACACCTTCCCCCCCCCCGCACCTGCGCCAGGTACTGGACCACCACGTCCCACAGCGGCTGGGGGTCTCCTGTCGGTGCCTCCACGGAGCCGAGGTCCAGGTGGGTGAGGGCAGCGCCCGGCAGGCTCTGGAGGAGCAGACGGAGGCCCGGGGAGCCCAGTGCATTGTGGGACACGGCCAGTTTCTTCAAGTGCACGGCTCCTGAGGGGAAACGGTAGTTCAGCACACAAGCCAGGCGGTGGTGGGGGGCACGAGGGAGCTCAGACGGGCAGACAGAACCGGGAAGGGGGCACAAACAGCATCCTGGGATGGAGTGTGGTTTTCGTAGCTTCCCAGTCCCTTCGTTTGGACAGTCTGCCACCCTCCATGCCCCCCGCACCCGGCATACTTTAGTGCCTTTTCCAAAGCACTGTGCCCCCCCCCCCCGGGCAACACAAACAAACTGGATTTCTACCCCGCCCTTCACTACCAAAAGGAGACTCGGAGCGGCTTACAATCTCCTTCCCCTCCCCACAACAGACACCGTGAGAGGGCGGTGGAGCTGAGAGAGCTCTTTCGAGGACTGCCCTTGAGAGAACTTGTGACTGACCCAAGGTCACAGCAGCAGCTACGTGGAAGAGTGGGGAATCAAATCCAGTTCTCCCAGATTAGAGTCCACACACGTAACCACGGCACCAAACTGGCATGTGAGCTCAGTGGGCATTGCCTGGCAAGTGGCATACGGAGGAAGGGACCTTGCGGGGGGCGGGTCCCCCTTCCAGCCCCATTCACCACCAAGCTGCTCCCAGGCTGCCAAGAGCAAGGCAGGCTGCGTTTGGGAGGGGTGTTTTTTACAGTCCTCCAGGGCTGCTTTCTCCCAAGCCAGGCACGTGGGTCAACTCAGGGAGGAATTAAAAACACGCAGTGGCAGGAACAGCCGACACCCCACACAGGCACTTTGGGAAAGTAGAAGAAGAAGAGTTTGGATTTATACCCCGCCCTTCATAGCCCAAAGGTGTCTCAGAGCGGCTTACAACCTCCTTTTCCCTTCCCCTCCCCACAACAGACACCCCCTGTGAGGTCGGTGGGGCTGAGAGAGCTCTGGACAGAAACTGCTCTTTTTCTAGGACAGCTCTGACCAGAACTATGGGTTTCCCAAGGTCATCCAGCCAGGTGGAAGTGGAGGAGTGGGGGAATCAAACCCGGTTCTCCCAGATCAGAGTCCGTGCTCCTAGCCACTACACCAAACTGGCTCAAACAGAGACTTTGCCCTGGGAGAAGACTGATACCCCAGAAGTGAGCGTACACACGCATACAGAGCAGCATCTGTCCCCCCCACCCCAAAGAAAGGATGACTTTGCTGCCCTTGCAGCTACCGCAGGGCCCCCTGCTTGAGAGGGGGTCTTCGTTCCCAGCAGAGCTCCCGGTCCCACCCCCACCAGCGGAACAGGGTCAGTGGCGTCTTGCGGCAGGCACCGGGAAAGCCTTCCAGAGCCACACGGTTTGCCCAGGCCGCTCCTTACCTCTTAGGGCGCCGGCCACCAGAGGGTGGTGCTGCTGCAGGAAGGCCGGGGTGAAGCCGCAGGCCCGCACGCGGAGGCTGCTCAGGAGGGGGCAGGCCTGGAGCAGCGCTGCCAAGGCCGGGGAGCTGCCGTCGCCCAGCGGGTTCAGGCTCAGGTCCAGCTCCTCCAGGTTCTGAAAGGACAGGGAGGGCCACGTCAGGGGAACGCCAGGAAAACCCCGGGAAAGGCAAAGTCGGGGGGGGGGGCAACTCGAGGCAGAGACGCCAGGTGGGACTGTGGCATCCTGAGATGTGGGAAGGTTGGGACACCGTTCCAGAATCCCAACTTTCCCGGCTCACGTTTGAAAAGAGCAGGCTTCGAGGCGTTCTGCGAAAGGCTCCAGGGTCCAAGAGGCTGCCTCCCGGAGCCACCATCTCTGTCTCCGCCTCTTGTCAATTCCCCGGGAGCTAAGCTGCCGAGTCTCGTGAGCAAAACTTCTACTTTGTCAGCTACTGGAATTAAAGTTGTGAGCGAGCCATTTGGCTGCTACGGCATCCATTCGTTTGCCCTGGAGCCCTCCTTCCGGAGTGGAGGCAGAGATGCGTGAGCCGGAGGCTAAGACACTGTGAGCTGGCTCACACTCACTCGGCTTAGAGGGAACACTGCCCGGGAAATCACTCACAGCAGGGACACCCCCAGCTTGGTGCCCACGGGTGCCATGGCACTTGTGGGCCCCTTTCCTGGCGCCTGTCAAGTGTTTCTAGAAAAGAAGGAGATTGGATTTATACCCCATGGCCCTTCACTACCCAAGGGAGTCTCAGAGCGGCTGACAAACTCCTTTCCCTTCCCCCCCCACAACAGGCACCCTGGGAGGCAAGCAGGGCTGAGAGACCTCTCTCGAGGACTGCCCTGGAGAGAACAGCTCTGAAAGAACTACGACTTGCCCAAGGTCATCCAGCAGGTGCAAGTGGAAGAGTGGGGAATTCTCCCAGATTAGAGTCCACGCCCTTAACCACTACACCAAACTGTACCCGTGGGGGGGGGGGGGTTTCCAGCCCAGTAAGGCTTCTGATTGGCCCCTGGAGACCCGACTGGCTGTGCAGATTTGAATAACGTGGTTTTGGTGGCAGCTGCCACCACACTGCTGATTTATTCTCTCTCTCCCACTCCTCTTGCCCCCTGCACTCGGGCTTCTTTTCTGCCTGGCTCCACCTTTCGTGGCGGTCATCTTGTGGCTGGCTCCCCCTCCCCGTGCCCCAATTCCAAAGGCGCCCACAGGCTCAAAATGGTGGGGAACCCCTGGCAGCCAGTGTTCCCACTAAGCTGAGTTAGGGTGAGCTAGCTCACAGTTCTTTAGCCTCCGGCTCACACATTTTTGTCCTTGCTCAGGAAGGATGGGGCTCCAGAGCAAACTAATTTATGCAGCAGCCCAATCGCTCACTCACAACTTTAATGTCTGCCTCAGGAGGTGGTGGATGCTCCTTCGCTGGACATTTTCAAGCGGAGGCTGGACGGGCATCTTTCGGGTGTGTTGTAGGGCTCTCTTTCGGGTATGTTGTAGGGCTATCTTTTGGCTATGCTCCTGCAGAGTGCAGGGGATTGGACTGGATGACCTGCAAGGTCCCTTCCAACTCTAACATCCTATGCTTCGATGAATGCCAGTCGCTCAGAAAGTAGAATTTTTGCTCACAAGACTCCACAGCTTAGAGGGAATATTGCTGGCATCCAAGCTGGCCGTTCCTAGTCCCGACGCCCCCCCCCCATCTAAAGCAGCCAGAAGTGCCCCCCCCCAACTCTACCTGGAAGGTGACTGGGCCAGCCGGCCCCCCCTGCGCCAGTCTCTGCAGCCCCTCGGGGCCCAGCCGGTTGCCGGAGAGGTCCAGGGTCTTCAGGCCAGGCATGGTGCTGAGGGTGGCCAGCAGCTCTGCGGCCGAGTCGTCCCCCAGGCCGGTCCCAGAGAGGCCGAGGCGCCGGATGGCCGTCTGCCGCTTGAGCGCCCTCAGGAGGGGAGTGAGGTGGAGGCCACGCAGGGCCACGCCCGGGGCGCGGAACGAGGGGCCCGACTCCTGGCGCTCCAGCGTCTTCAGCAGCAGCGGGTGTTCTCCTGGCAGCCCGGGAGACCCGCCACGTCACCTCACCGCCAGCAGGAAGCGCCGGCCCACACACACCCCACCCGGCTTCCGTAGGCAGTGGCAAGGAGAGCCAGCCTCTCAGAGGAAGGCTGGGGGGTCCTGCCCCGGTGCCGGCCAGAGGGAACTTGTGGGGTCAGCAATGCCCCCTCCCCCGGTCCGCTCATCCCAGAGGACTCCAGGCCCCGAGCCGGGCAACCTCCCGGCACACGGCTCTTCCCCCCGCCCACAGAGAAGCCCCGTCCGGCAGGGGGCTTCTGGCGCTTACCCACAGACAGGCTCCGACAAGCCTTGCGGTACCTCTCCAGAAGGGGCGGCAGGTCCCAGGACTGCACCTCCGCCAACACCTGCCACAGAGCAAGCACAGCCACACGGTTGGGCAAGGCACTGGGCAAAAGGTGCCACCCCCCTCCCCGGCCAGGGGCTCCCCGGGGCCCGGCCGAGGCATTTCAGGCATCCTCTCTGCCGGGGAGACGCTGCCTGGCTTCCACCAACGCTTCGCCACGATGGCCCCCCGGGATGCAGGCGAGCCCCTCTGGCTCAACTGCATCTCACAGCCGGC